TACACAACCGTGACCGCAGACCGGAATGCACGCCCGTCCATCTCTCTCTCTGCAGCCGATGCTGGCGTTCCCTTTGATCGATTCTGCGCGGATGCGAACGCTGCCCCGGCATCCTCCGAGCGATCCAACCGATATCTGCGCGGTTCGACCGAGTCATTTCAACGTTCCCTTCGTTTTCGTTCCTTCGGTTCCCAAGAGTATGCTGTCTCTACTTTAGATTCTCAAGCGGTTCATCGTAGTTTTTCAAATTGGAACTCTCGGAGATGTTTCGATTATTACGTAACGCTACCTTCGCCCTCGCAACAGGAATTCTGTACGCGTCTTTCGGAATAATCGGAGGAAATAAGATATTGGTATCGGTGAGCAAGGATTCCGTTTGGTCTATCGGGGTTGCACAGCCGGTGTAAGTCGACCGTGATCACGAATGGTCGCTATCGATTGCACGCGGTGTCGCACCCGTGATATTTAACTCGCACGAGCTCGCGCGCCGTTGAAAACGATACGCCTCGACGTAAACGCGTCCCTTTTCCCGCTACTTCTATTCCGGGATAATGAAATATCAATGAAAATGTTAGCGACGAGTTTAGAAATCCAGTCGGCCGACGCTGCTCTCGGAAAATTGCTGGCCGCATTTAGAAAAGCTCGCTCGTGGATTTTTATTCTTGGAGCTAATGATTTTTCGATAGCCATTCAGGAAAGGGTTTCTGCCGGCTACGTCAGTGGTATCCGAGTATCTCTTGTTTCTCTTGTTTCTCTTGTTTCTCTTGTTTCTCTTGTTTCTCTTGTTTCGCTGAAATTACTCACCGAGCTGTTAACCAAAGAATTCCCTCATACTGGAAACAACTAGTAAATTATTATGTCTTCGACATTATGTCACCGGACAGAATGGCGAACGGTCTCGCTCGAATGCTAACGTCACCGGTAGCAAGTCATTCGGCGACCTTAAGTTCTTGCTTGAAATTACACGAACCAACGGTCGATTTAAAGTGGAAACTTGTGTCCCGGTAGGCACAGACTGCGAAACGAGCCTCCAGTTGTACATAAAATATATACTCGTCTCGCGATTTTTCCCCGTTTTCGTATCGAAACGCGAGGCGAATAGGAGCGGAGTCGGTACTATCGAGTGACCCTGGCTGCCATTAATATTTCACCGGTCTCCTCCGGCA